CTCGACGGCTTGGTCATATTTCCAACGTTTAAGTTGTAGTTAATTTTTAAATAAACCATTTTAATAACTGAAATATAACGTTTTTTAGCTGTAAGACCAGGCAAAATTAATAAGGTCTCCCCGACTAACTTTGCCTTATTTGTACACAAAAAACGTTAGATTTCAGTTATCTTCTGTCCGATCCTTTTGATCTTGGTATCGTTTGATAAGGAATTAAAAATGCTAAAAAAGTAGCCCTGAAATATTTTTTTGAACTAGCCGTTAATGAGTTATTTAAGCTATAAAAATCCAAACTGCCGCCGTTTGAAATTTACTATTGGAACAACTTTATTATTTTTTCTATTATAGGTCTTGTGTATGTAAACATGGGTACCAAATTTCATAATCATCGAATGAAAAACTTCACAAAAATTGGCGGATAAGTAAATATGCATTTTCGGACATTCCTTCACATAAACCTTTTTCTTCCTTTTAGTATGAGGATTCATTTCCCAAAGTCCTGAAACGTTTTTTATGGACACCCTGAATAAGATTCGAGACCACCAAAGGAAATAGATGAGTCAGTCTCTATAAATTGGTCATTATATTCCTAATGTAGAGTAATTATCAAGGTCAAAACCTCAGCGCGGTCAAATATTTAAGATTACGTGAATGATATTCAACTAACGAGTGGCCTTTCCTAACGAAGGCATTATGATATAATCACGGTTTCAGCCTCCGCGTTCAACGATAAAGTAGAGTTTGTGTTTGTAGCTGTTGTAAAATCGCTTTATTTATAGCAAGGGAACAGAAAAAGATAATCTACAAAACCGGTTCTATAATAGTGTTACAGTTTTTGTAACAAAATCGACGGGTTAGATATTTGCAATTTATTTTTTGTACTACTATTTCTTGTATCGCTAATTGAATGGTGTTACGAAATGTGTTATAGCCTACAATGTGTGATTTATTCTATAAAACATCGATAATGTATTTATGCAGATCTTATGTGTCACTTTTATCTTGGTATGTTTTCATTTCAAATTTTAAACAAAACAGATTATCTGACCTTTTTTAAGGTTGAATAATATTTAAAAATGATTTATTAAATAATACATTGTTGTGGGTGCATATTAAATAAACTGACGCCAACCAAGAGTTACGATCCTAAAGTAAAAGTATAAAACATATAATTTTATATTAGCATTTATATGTGCAAAACTTCTTTCTAGACCACTCATTAAAAAGGTTTTTACATAACAATTCTCGTAAGCTGTAACAGATTCCTTTCATAACGCAATATTAAAACTTGATATAGGTTCAATAAATGATTATAGGATACACTGTTGTAGTAGTGTTCTCCATTTTTATTCACGCTATAAGATGAAGATATTCAGCGTTCCTTAGCAATTCAGGGGGCGTGGTAGAAACAACACCCATAAACAAATCTGAAAACACGTTCGCTAAAAATAGACCGATCGAAATCCCGATCACGTGAACGGTAATTTGGTCGTAGCTGACGGCGGTTGGCTCTGGCTGGGGAAGTCCAAGGAGTTACTGATAACAAGGGCTTGCTTTCAAGGTCACAGTTACAATGTGAATTGTTCATTCAGGTAACATTAGTGTGTTACGTGGGCTTTGTCTGTAGCGCAAATAGTCAGTATGGAAAGAAAGGTTACGTAAGATCGCTTCACATTTAGAGCAGATCGGAGTAAAACCGCAAGAATGTTGTTTCTACAGAAAAGTGGTGATCGTATGCAGTATTTCTCGGTAGAGTTCCCTCAAGTATAGACAAGAAGAATTAAATATAGACTGTCAGCTTTGCTGTGGTTACCATGGTTACCATAGGTTCTGGCGCACACCGCTGGGAGCGCTATGTACTTACGGCCCACGTACTACGTAACTACATGGTGCTCCCAGCGGTGTGCACCAGAACCTATGGTAACCACAGCACGGCTGACAGTATATATTTAATGATTTTTGTCTATGCCCCTACATACTTGGTGGAAAAAATGTATAACATAGTACAAATTGACCTTATCCGCTTTGACAGAAAGTAATTATATTCATAGTCGACGGTAGCGAGCTGGTGTGTTAGAGCGCGGGCCTTCGGTCTCTGAGGTCCCGGGTTCAAATCCCGCCAAATCACCAGTGGATTTCTTCTAAGTGATGATGCCGCAACCCCTAGGTCTAGCCTGAAGTAACGTGAAAAACAGTTCCGGGCTAGGCGAAAAAAATATTCATGGTCGAAGAGCATGTCATTTATTTGTATAAGGTTTGTGTAATTTTAGCACTATTGCAAGACACTGATAAAAATTAATGTGCTTTTCTAGTAGTAGAGGTTTAAAAGATTTGTCAAAATTTCGTAAGTTAATATGAAAGACTTTTCATAGCTTTGTTAACACAATGTAGAAAACTGTACATAAAAATAAAAGAAACGTAAGAAAAAACTTTCATCAATAAATTTGTGCTCGAGGCCCAAAGAATTTGAACAAAGTTAAACGAAGAATCAAATAATTGTTGAAAAGGCAACAAAGAATAAAAGAAAACAATGCATTTTAGGAACAAAGATAACAATAACTATTTCCCAAGTTGTTTATGCATGTAAGAATTACAAAAACTCAAAATAAATTACAAATTGTAAATGCTATTAATTGTACAAAGGAAGCCGCGTAGAAAAGCCTTTTAAAGCTTAAGCCTAACTAAGGGTGCGTTCACAAAGAAAGCTGGTTACAAGTAACTTACTTTCAGCGCTTGTTCCAAGCGCTTGAGAATGCTGTTGTGTGTTCACAACAAACGCTTGCATTTCAAGCTCAGTGTAGTCTCAGCTCTGGTTGAGACAATATCTTCCTCAAGTGATGAAGAGTTATTTTTTTATTGAAAATGTAGAATTAAAAGGGTGTAGAATTAGGAAGGTGTTCATGCAATTAACCGTGGAAGTTAATCACGTTTAATTACATCCTCAAGAAAATTGAAAGTGTTTTAGTGAAATTTTGGGGGGATTGGCATGAGCTACCTATCCATGCACCAGAACGAATTTTGGACCAATAATAAAACCTAAAAAATACTTGAAGGGAGTTTTAAACACCCTATGTAGCTGATTAATTATGATGCAAAAATAATATTGTGAGATATATTCAAATGTTTTAATTTTCTAGGTAAATAAAGTAAAAGTATACAAGTTTCATAAAAAAAAAAATCCAACACAACACTTAATTAATATTGAGTTAAATATGTTTGTATACTATCTTATATATATATATGTTATAGTTGTCCTATTGGTTACGTTATTGAACATTCTAGGAAAAACCCACAATATGAGGGAAATATTTTTTTTGGAAATTGAAAGCTCTAAATACTTGAGCTATCAACTCATCGACATCCACACTGCACTGTAGTTTGTTAACTGACTGGTCCGCTCAATAAGCGCCGGAAAACAAGTACGAAACGTTCTTGCGTGCTTGTCAGAGCTTGTAACAAGCGCTTGCTAGCCGGCACAAGCTTTGTCTGTGAACACACACGCTTGATACTATGTTAACTTTTCTCACGCCGGTTCGAGCTTGTAAGCGCTTGCCAACAAGCGCTTGTAACCAGCTTTCTTTGTGAACGCACCCTAATGGAGACAAAAAGTGTTCAGATTGTTTTGGCCATTAAAGAGACATGTTAATTGTATAATTTGACGTTTACAGTGACGCGACGAGGTGACGCCGGCACCAAGGAAGCAAACTTAAGTTAATTGAATGGCTTTATGACAGGCATACGAGGACAGTCTTGTCATTTACATACTGGCCGGGCTCATAAATATAGAAAATCGTTTAGGCACCACCTTTATGACGTGTAATGGACTGATTTTGTTTATGTCTTTTCCAAAAGCTCCGCTCGACGTTTTTTTTTGTCAGTGGTGACTATTTGAAAACGCTAATTTTGAAAGCCATTAATTGTTTTCTGTTATGTAAAGTTCATCGTATGGTAAGATCTTTTAAGTTGAATTATCAGCATGACAACATTAAGATGGTGGATAAAATACAAATTTAAGGTAGAATAACGGTACTCTATTTCTTTAAGCTAACTTCATTTGTGGATTAATTACGTTTAAAATAACTATAAGCGTTTGAACTCTAATCATTTAATATTATCAGAAATAATGTATAACTTAACTATTAGGCCATTGTTAAAAATATTATTGCATTAATTGAAATAAAAATGAACAAAGGTTCAAAGGTTCAAGGGAATGTTGGATTGAACTACAGCTGATTCACTTGTTATTTCAATGACGTAGATAGTGCATGTATTTGAAATATTGAAGATTTGTTTCGTACAATTATTTGTTGTAGGCCTACAAATATTTTATGTTACAGTTTTCAGTATTTATTTTAAAGCTTAAAATAGCATTCAATGATACTGAAATGATGGGGTTGAAATCGTGGCCAGAAACATTAAATTGGATGACTTACAGAAATGAGCCCTCCTTTCAATTAACACGATGAAAACTCAGGAATAAATTTCCCTAGTTTGTTTAGCAATACATAGAACACTAAGACATAACCAAATATATTTAACCAGCAGTACAAAGGAAAACACAATCAACCGTGACCCCAATTTAAAACACTTCACAAATTAATAAAAATAAATAATTAAAAGGATTGAATTACTAAAGCCTTTGACACAGTGAAGTAGACATTACCTTAACCTTTTATAAAGTTATAGCCAATTTAGAGTAATAATTACTTATTTCAATTAAACCTCAGAAAATTGGTTGTAAAGGTCCATTTTATTTCGTATAAAACACATTTTTTTGTCTTGTCAAACTAAAAGTGTAATTCATTGTTGTCTGTAGCACTTTGTATATCCCCATCAACTATATATTGAAAAACTGAAATAGAATTAACTTCCACAGTAGCACTTGACTTTAGGCTCTTTAAGCTATCTATGAGTAAAAAAAAAAAACTGGCGACAGATCCTTATTGGATGCCTCCTTCAACACCTTAAGTGAAGGCTAAGTAAGATAAACAAATACTGACCAAAGTGCAGGCCACCGTAGTCATGACTATCACTCGCTAGGCTTCATGCTGAGCACTTAGTACCGCGGCACAACGCGGGTCACAGTGTACTGGGCCTGGGCTGGGGACTCCGCCCTGCTGGCCACCACCGCCCGCAAGGTCACGGACTACCGGGGAACCCGCGCGAGCCTGACCCACCCCGGGGGTGCAAAGCTGAGCAATAATACTTGATTTTGCAAAAAAATACTGTTAAATTCTTTGACTAGTGGCTTTGACTATCAAAGTAGACACATTACATACCAATTTTAAAGTTATAGCCATATTTAGAATGAAAATGAAGAAATTTAATTGGGTCACCTGCAAAGTGTGTTAATCACTGTTTTCTGTAAAAAAAAACGGCAACCGGTTGAAAAAGCTAACCTGTAAAGACAATTTATCGTTGTACTATGGTTGTAAAACTTATTTCTCGAGGGATATAATTTTAGACAGTGGTAGGCTCTGTGGGCTCATTCAACAGATGTTTATAATTTTTAATGGCATCATTTGGTATATAGGATATGATGTGTGATATAGGCCTATTTTTGGGCATACAACTCCAAAAGCTAATACATTGGATAATGAAGTAAACGTGTATTATGGAACAGCAGTAGCTAAAGAAAAGTTGAATATACTTTTCACAAAGGTTTCTATTGTTTTATTTTCTTCCATATTTTACAATACTAAAACAAGTTAAAAACTTAACACCTACTATGGTATACAGTACAGTGCATCAAGTTGTCCTCAATTTTTGCTTGGTTAAAAATGTCGTTTACACAACAGAAATCAGTAATAGTAATAGTCGTACAATAATTAGTTGGAAGCTCAATAATTTAATTAGGTTTATTTTTATCGTAAACTAGCTAAAAGTTTAACATGTAAATGAGACGAATAACTAATATATAATATATATAAACTGATATTTAAATAATTTGGCTTATATTTGTTTATTTTTGCCAGGTACAAAGTAAATTTACAGTCTACAAGAAAATGTTGCTCCCTATATCAATTTTAAAACCCAGATTATTATGTACAGTTAGATTTTCAAGAAACATTTTGGGTAAATAATTACCATATTAAGCAAACAAATTTGTGAACTATTTTTGGTGTAATCGCCTTTTGCTTATGGTTCTAGAAAAAGTATAGACTGTCAAAGGAAGGTACCGGCGCCCACCGCTAGGAGTGCCGTGTAGTTACGGCACACTCCGCTGCAGGCGAGGAGCGCAGGAGCCGTATGCTCTGCAGCGGTGTGTGCCGTAACTACACGGCACTCCTAGCGGTGGGCGCCGGAACCTTCCTTTAACAGTCTTTTTTAATTCTATTAGTCTATGGTTTTCTACTATGTTCATTCTTTTTCTGAAACTGGCTATTGACTTTGAATATACAGTACAAGCTGACATAATCATCTGTATGGTCTATCAATATCCAATCTTTATTCAAATATAAAAGCTACTTAAAAAACTTCAATCTTTTTGTAAAATTCGAATTTATTGTTTAGTTTACGATATCATGAAACTAATGTTGTTTAAAATATTGTATAATTTTCAGTAAGTTATCCTTTTAGTTTGGCTTGGTCAGTAATTAATTGTATAATTTATTGTCAACAGAATGCTCTGTCGGTAAGTCAAACAAATTTTCACTCTAAAACTGGATTGGTACTACTTAAACATAGGACATCTGCAAAGGCAAAGATAAGACAGACAACAAAACAGTCGTAGTAGTGCTGATTCGTGGGTTTAGTGATGGCCATATACATTTATGACTCTCACATTAACGACTACAACGTACTACAGATGAGTGGAGGATGGACAATGGTCGATATACGGCCCATAAACAATCATTGATGGGTAAAGCCCGGCCGTTACTCGCCGTTAATGTACAGTTGGGTGCACTGTACTGTACTGCGCATCGTGTTTGGGCGGGCATTAATTGCGCCAACTAACCTGAGTCAGATAGTTGGGGGATAGCCCAACTCCGCGCGGTGGTCAAATTTAAGCCGAGGAACAGTTTTATGGCCCCCGAAGGGTCTAGTCCAACTCCGCGCGGTGGCCGCTAGACTTCTAATCTCTACGCTACCTTGTTGTGCTTTCGTATGAGATATGATGTGTTTAATATAAAATATTCTATATACATACCGTGTGTCCCCCAAAGTAATGTTACACTTTTATTTGTTCATAGCTAACTTACTTTATTCATGTGACAGGTAGGTTTGGTTTGGTTAGGTTAGGTTAGTTAGATTAGGTTGGATGGGTTGGGTTAGGATGATGCGTAAACAAGGACATTCCTTCTGCCGGCAACTCACCCCTACCTAGCTTGAACATGGCGCAACTAAGGAACATTTTTGGATCCTTTGAGGGCTTGGCACAATTAATGCACGACCTCGTGTTGTGAACTACCATTGTCTTTGGACTCTGCAATTGTCATATTTTTTGTTGTTATGCATAATATAATATTAAAATTTCTTGGAATTAAGTTTCGAACCTTATTAAAATGCGTAATTACGTATGGTTCCCCTCGTTTTACTAAATTAAGATTACACATAATATGGATATCTTCATTCGTAAGCCATGAATGGTGCTGTACATAGTTTATAAACCAACTTGACGTGGCTCTCAACGGAAGACCAAGAACTCAGTGATTACCTGGATATAATTGAAACTTTTGTAAATGTGTGCATAAATGTAGTGTTTCACATTTTCCCTACCAACAATACACATGCACATAGCTTTATCAATCCAAATTGAACACGATAATTCCAATGAGAATTCATGCATTTCTGGATAATTTACACACAACTAAATATGATTTTAAAACATCTTTTACAACAAATAACATGTAATTCTTCCACGTTTCACGATCTTGTGTACGATCAGGTGTTCTTTGATATTTTGTTGCTTTTCATGAAAAAGAATCTTGGCATGTCTATTTGAAATTCTGTAGGTGGTTGAAGTCATTTAGTCCACCTTAAATTTATTTTGCTCACCTTGCAAGGTTACCATGACAAAAAGTTTTGTGAAACCAGTTTCATGGAATCCCATTTCTGGAACAATAAGTTCCCCTCATAAGTTACATTATCACCTCATCAGCATGTCTTTAGCATTCTCTGACTGACACAACCAGATCAATTCACCCCATCATTCAGGAATTGTGAAACATAGATATGCTAATTGTGCATAGTTGAGGTCTTATTTATTTCAATCGAGACCAAACCACTTCTCACAAGACAGACTGTTTGACTGTTCCAATAAATATGATTCTGCTAAATGAAGCTTAGTAAAGTGGATAGACCGAATATTGAATCCGATTGCATAATGCATTTGTGGGAGGTATTTCCTTCTAAGGGTAGCAAAGTGGACATAATTTAGCTTGACTAACAAGAAATTCTTATTTTCCTTTTTTTTAAGACAGAAAAGTATTTACTGGTGAATCCTGTACTTGATTTAATCTAGTAGAGTGTCTATGCAGACACGGTGACGAACTCGATTGGCCAAGTGAGTTTGTTTCTTGTCGTTCCTGAATTAGACTAATACAAAGAAATGGTTTAAGTTTCCATTATTCCAAAGTAGTATGCTTGAGAAATTCATGCTTGAGGTATTGAAAGATTGCCAGAAATAACTTCAAACTAGGAATCTTGGCGAAGGACAAGCCTTTGGAGTCGGACTATGAATGGAGTCCCAATTTGGTTAAAACTGAGAATGGTTCCAGCGTACTTGAGGATTTATAAACTCTTTACTGAACATTCCTCAACATTATAAAAGCTATACAGTTCATTCTTGTTGAATAATACATTCCATCCCAGACGTTACTATATTTTTTATTTTTCCACTTTAGGGTCGGAAGATTCAATATATTTTCGGGGGTAGGGAAATTGTGCCCATGTGACATGCACTAATCCCTTAGGGTGGGATGTAATCCGGTAGGTTAGTTGCGCCAAGACGGCTTGTACAATGGATCTCTCAAAATGGTAAAGAACAATAAAGTATTCGAAAAGCCAGTAGCCAGTCAACGAAATAGTCCTTACAAAGATGGGGCTTCTGAATGAGTTAAAGGTGAAAAGTGATTTATCTATTTTTGCACCAAAGCTAATGCAACACTGACACAATAAACCAGTGTTATTTAGGGGACATTAAAACAAAAAAAAATATATGATACAAGATTAATCAGTCTTTGGATATATCTATATGCTCAATATTCATTCTAGGCCAGCTGTTAGTGAGGCTCATTACGCTTGTGAAGGGGTACCCACCTTTGATAACGTATGGGCGCAACTAACCTATCTTCTTAAGGGACCACCATATTCGTGGGCGCAACTAACCTACCTTCTGAAAGGGTCCACCAGATTCGCGGGCGCAACTAACCTCCCCATTTATGGCCCTGGGCTAATTATTTACGCGATTAACCCATCATTTATTTGTCCTTACTTGACTAAAATATAACAACCACACACATTCCTAATTTCCTAAATATAGTTTCATGATTCTTCTTTCAGTGAATGATGAAAGTTGTCGCCTTCGTGCTCGGGGATTGACAGAGTTTTTGGGCTCTAAACACAAATGTTGTCCAGTTAATGTTCAGCCAATTATCCAACATCAAGACATTTAGGAAGCCTACACTGTATTTCGGTAGTTGGAGGGTGCGGGTGGCGTAGTTCCGGCCAGGCGGTATGCACGGCTCTCTCGGTTGCTACAGGTGACCTTGGCTAACAGCTGTGACCTTGCTATCACCACTATCAGCTGACACAGATAACTCCCCCTACTGCACCACTACATGATTCTGCTGTTCTACTTCCCTAATGTAACGTTTCGGTAATGCAGTTTAACTGTCCTAGCTGCAATCGCGTTTATATGTCTGCATTTTAGTTTAGTTATTATGGGAGAGATTTTTGGGGAGCATTTGATTATATTACCATTGCCAATTACGTTGTGACACCAATTAGGTGTGTTTTCAACCCAAATATGAATTAAGGATGAGTGTAGAAAGAAGTGAGATCCCTTGTGTTGACTTAGATCAGCTGTTTCGCTAGGACCATTGATTAAAACCCCAATGATCAAGGACATTAGGTTGGTTTAGTTTCGAAAAAAATCTACTAACATT